GGGCCCGGCAGCAGCTGAGCCGCCACGGGGCCATGGTCGCACGCTGGGCGGTGCCCCGCCGGGAAGCCCGCGGCGATGCCGAGGCCCGGGGGAGGTGGCGAGCGCAGCTCCAGGACCGGCTGTCCAGACAGGCGCATTCGCTTTCGCTTTTGCTTTAGCCCCCGGAGGGCTGCGGAGAGGTGCGGAGCGGTGACAGAGCCGTGACTCAGCGTCCCCACCCTGGCCGCTGTGACCCCCACGCCTCCGTCCGTGTCCCCGGAACACCGCAGGCAGTGCGCAGCGGGGACCCAGGACCTCACCTGCACGAGCCTGGGGTCCTTTTCCTCCTCTTCGCTTCTCGGCCCTGGGGACCTCGATCCATTCGGCCTAGTGTCCCCACTGCACAGGGAGTGGACAGAGCCACTGGAGAGCAAACCGTTCCCGTGCACTCAGCTGCTCCACGTCCACACTTGCGTGTCCCCTTCTCTCGCTGGTCTCCTCCAGCATCTCCGACTTCAAGTTTCTAGTTGGAACTTGCAAGTTTCTGCGCTCGGCAGTCCACGCTCGGCGTCGGTGGATGACCTTGGAGGTGTCGCCGTGGTGCGGCTGGCGCGGGCCGCAGACAGTGAGCCCAGGTGACCTGCCCGGCGCGCAGGCCCGGTGGAGGTGGCGCCGCCATGGCCACCTGCTCGCTCCTGAGGTGGCGGCGACCCGCGCCTGCTCCGGCCCCAACCCCGCCACTTCGCCTTAACTGCCGCCGCACTTTTCCTTCCCAAGAAAATGCCAAATATTTTAGGGGCTGGGGGCGCAGGGAGGAGAAGAGGGAGAGGAACCGACCCTTATTCATCTCTGCGCCTCGTCTCATTTCCTTGGACAAGTTCTCCCACTCTAGCGTCCTCCTCTTTTGCGGATGGGTTTTTTCTTTCTTGGGGTCTCAAGTCAAGCCCGACATTACCGAGAACCGGATCTGTCGCGGGAAAGCTCCAGAAGAGCATCAGAAATCCGCGGGTCTAGGTGCGGTGAGGGGATTGAAGCAAGCGACAAGCCTGGGTCTGTTGCTTTTTGTTGAGCTAGAAGGAGGCTTTTGTGAAATAACACGTGCAAAGGCTCTGTGTAAAGTCTCTGTGTATAGACGTAAGTCATTATACTCCTCCCCCGCACACACACGATAGGAAAAGGAGAGGGAACGGCTTTTCCTGTCCTTGCCGTCTTTCTCTAAAAGGTTTAAAACTGACATGACAAATCGGAAGCATGCTCAGTAAAGCAGTTCAGAGGAATGGAAATCACACGTGGTCCCAACCTCTAAGTATAACTAATGTCAACACTTTGGGTGCTTCAGACTTATAAAAGCTTCTTTTGTTATGGACATTTTCAAATATCAAAAGTAGAAAGAATTATGAGCCTCAGGTACCCATCACTTGGCCTTGCAGTGACCACAGGAAGTCCGCTCTTTCATATCAGCAGGAATAGTCCCCCCTCACCCCAACTGGGAAAATCCGGGATGTCCTAAATGCTTAGGCACATATCTCGAGATAATAAGGTCAAATAACACCCCCTCCCCCAAGCTCCGCTATTCCTTAATATCATCATATATTTCACGCTTTATTGAATGCATGAGGACCATAGTATGTATAAGTTAAGGCAGTTTTCCTTATTCTACGAACCTTTGTAAAGCAGGGATTTCCCTGTTATTACAAACTCTTTGCAAACGTTTTTAATGGCAGTAAATTATCATAGTTTAACATTCCCCTTATTATTTCAACATTAAAAATAACACTGTAAGAAATATATTTTTATAAAAGGCATCCTGTGAATTTAAGATTGTTTAGATTTACTACTGTGGATCTACCTTGTCAACATAAATAAGCTTGCTTTCCAAAAGTCTGGTACCAACATACCCTCTAACTAGCATTGTGTTAGAGTACCCATTTTACTTCATTCTGGACAAAAATGAATTTTAAAATTCGAAAATAGGTTTGTTATTTTTGTATGTTTTAAAGAACTTTTTAAAATTACACATATATATTTGAAATATTTCAAACATATGCTAAAGTATAAAGATACATAAATTTAGAGGATGTCCATGTGTCTTGTCAAATCTTCATATATTTGCTTAATATTTGCTGCAGATATTTTTTGGAAGGAAAAAAACATTCAGATGAAGTTGGAGCTCCTTTGTATTTCTCCATCTTCCTCTTCCCCTCTCTTCCTCCTCTCACACATAATCTTTCTTGAAATTAGTACTTATCATTCCTGAGCATATTTTAGGCCTTCTTTCCACGTATATATCCCAAAACAACACAGTATGGTTTTACATTTTAGAAATTCATTTGAATAGTACCATACTATGATGTGATTTTAAAACTTTCTTTTTTCCCTCATCATTAAGCTTTTGAGGTTGGTCTTTTGTGATACATGTAGCAGTAGTCATTAGCTCTTAACTGTGAGGTGGTATTGCACTCTGCTGGACTCCACTATTATTTGTGCTATTTTCTGCCATAGCTCCTAGAAGGTTCAGGTATATCCATTGCTGGTCTACATTTTCCTTCAGATTAATTGAATGGTTTTAGCAGGAAACTGAAAAGAAGCAAATCAAATTATTGACTTGGAATACCATCTCATTCTAAAGCTATTAAATACTTTTCTATTTATTAAAATAAATAAAAATTTTTTAAAAAGAATGCCATCTTACTCTCAAAGCCTCCTTATTGACCTTTTAAAGATGCTTTTACCATAAATTATTTTCTCTCAGATAATTAAGTCTATTGCTGAGATACCTATTCTGTTCCATAATTTCAGCTGTCTTTTTTTTTTATTGGAAGCTGGCTGGTACAGGGATCCAAACTCTTGACCTTGGTGTTACAACACTACACTCTAACAACTGAGCTAACTGGTCAGCCCCTCTGCTCTCTTCCTTTGCCAGTACCATACTGTTTCAGTTATTGTAGCTTTATAATGTTTTCAAGTCTTACAGGGCTAGTCTGTCCACATAAGTTTTTTTCCCCAAAGTTTCTTTGCTATTCTTATTGTTTGTTCATCTAGATAAATTTTCAAATTTTTATTTCAGATTGTTCCCCACCCCTTAAAAAAAAGACCCAATGCCTTGAATTGTATTTAGATGGAAATTATATTCAATTTTATTCATATTCAATAGAGACTACTTTCTTGGAATACATTAATACAGCTTGATGACACTTTTTAAAAAACTTTTATTTAGAGATAATTGTAGATTCACATGTAGTTGGAAGAAATAATAAAGACAGATCCTGTGTACCCTTCACCCAGTTTCCTGCAATGGTAGCATCTTGAATAACTATAGTACAATATCAGAGCTGGGAAATGACATTGATACAATCCATACACATTCAGATTTCAGCAGCTTTACATGCATTCATGTGTGTGTGTATTTAGTTCTGTGCAATTTCGTCAAATGCACAGATGTGTGACACCAACACAGTCAAGATATGGGACAGTTCTCACACAAGGGTCCCATGTGCAGCCTTTTACAGCCACGCCATAGCCTCACTCCCCCTTTCCTGAAGCCCTGGCCACCACTGATGTGTCTCCACCTCTATAACTTTGTCATTTTAAGAATATACATAGATGGAATCACACAGTATGAAGCCTGTAGAGGTCATCTTTTCCACTTAGTATGATCCCCTGGAGATTCATTCAAGTTGCTGCATGTATCAGTTTATTCCTTTTTATGAGTGTTAGAAATGGTATCTTTTTAAAATGTGTTAACCTGTCATCCACCCTCCTACAACCCCATGCTTTTATATGTGTTTTATGTTATTTACCAGTATATGTGTATGTTTTACATATTTTTTATTAGTTTCCTAGGGTTGCCTTAATGAAGTACCAAAAACTGCGTGGCTTAAGACAGCAGAAATCTATTGTCTCATAGTTCTGGAGGCTGCAAGTCCGAAATCCAGGCGTCAGCAGGTCTGTGTTCTGTCTGACAGCTCTCGGGAAGGATCCTTCTGTGCCTCTTGTAGTTCCTGCTGTTCTGGGAGCCTTGGCCTTCCTTAGCTTGCACCTGTGACACTCTGCTCGTGTGGCCATCTCCTCCCTGCATCTCTTCATGGGGTCTTCCCTCTGTGTGTGTCTGTGCCCAAATTTCCTCTCCTTGTAAGGACAACAGTTGTATTGGATTAGGGCTCACCCTAATGACCTCATTTTAACATGACTGTCCCTGTAAAGTCCCTATCTCCAAATGCAGTCACATTCTGAGGATTAGGAGGTTAGGAATTAAGCATATAATTTTGGGTGAGTACACTTCAATCCATAAAAATATGGTATCTTTATTTTTAAGAATAAAGTTCAAGATTCATTTTCTCAGGCCAGAGGAAATGAGCTGGTTTCAGAACAGAGTGTCACAGTTAGGACACTCTTAATTTTGGGTGAGTACACTTCAATCCATAAAAATATGGTATCTTTATTTTTAAGAATAAAGTCCAAGATTCATTTTCTCAGGCCAGAGGAAATGAGCTGGTTTCAGAACAGAGTGTCACAGTTAGGACACTCTGGCAGAGTGTCTGCAGTTCAGGAGTGACTCAAGGAGAGTTCTTTCTGGGGCTTCCATCAAGGGACACATCAGGGGCAGGACATTTGCTCAGCAGTCATCACTCAGGGCAGATCTGGTGTTGGGGACCAGGTTCTGGGGTCAGGAAAGACAAGGTCTGGCAGCAGGGTCTTCAGCCACAGGCTGCCGTGGTGGGGATAGGGAAGGAACCCTCAGAACTGGGAGGGGGCCAGGCAGAGGCTAAGATGTCAGACTGGGCCACCAAGAACAGGGAGCAGAGAGCTCAAGGCTAATGGATTCTTTTTTTTTTTGCTTTAGAATCTTAAATTTTAAAATTGAGATATAATTCATATGAGATACAATTCACCATTTTAAAATGAATAATTCAGTGGTTTTTAGTACAATCGTGATACTGTGCAACCATCACCACTGTCTAGTTCCAGAATATTTCCATCACCCCCAAAAGAAATCCAGCACCTGGATTAGTCGCCACTCCCAATATCCCTTCTCCCCAGCCCCTGGTAACCTGAAATCTACTTTATGTCTCTATGGGTTTCCCTATTCTGAATATTTTATATAAATGGAATCATACAATAATCCTTTTGTGTCTGGCTTCTTTCACTCAGCGTAATGTCTCCAAGGTTCACCCACGTTGTAGCATGTGTCAGGACTTCATTCCTTTTTATGAACAAATAATATTTCATTAAATGGGTATTACACAATTTACTTATTCACCTGCCAGTTGATGGATACTGGGTTATTTCCACTTTTCAGCTGTCATGAATACCACTGCTATGAGCATTCATGAGCAAGCTTTTATGTGAACATACATTTTCGGTTCTCTTGGGTATGTACCTAGGAGTGGAGTTGATGGGGGTTAAGTAATTCTAAGACCCCTGAAGGCCAACAGGAAGAGTTAGAGGGCTGTGGGGGAGCCTGGCACAGCTGGGTCTCAGTCTGTGGGGTGGTGACTGCACACTTGACTTTGAGAGATATTGTCTCAGGAACTAAGGCAAGATAGAGTCTGTAGGGGTCTGCAGAAGGGGATCTATCTGCTGCAGCTAACCTGGGGACCCCAAAGCAGTGAAAATGAAACGGGGGAATGAGAGAAAATGAGTCTACTCACAGAGGGGTTTTGTTTAAGAGCAGAAGAG